TGAAAACTAACACACTAACTCATATCACAATATGGCAATGTAAGGGGAAAAATGTACAATACTGACCAATGTGAATACCCAAATCCAAGACTCAAGCGCCTTTTTCAAGTTTTGATTGAAATTTGAAATGACTTATTTTCAACAATAGGTGGCGCTTCGCGGGTTTTTTGTTTGTTTAGTTGAAATGCTTTGGCTGTATGAAATATCTCTGCTATCAATTTTAAAAATGAATACAAAGCATTAAGATTCATATAGTACTTTGGTAATTGACAGGAACTATATCTGCTACCAAATCTGCTGTATTTATTATCAAATTAACATTCTAAGAGAATATCAAAAAGAAGCAGCAATAAACATACTTTTTGAAAATATATAGAAGGATCATTCTGTTTTTTACTTTTCTACTGATTTTCAACTTTTTAAATGTAATTCAATTACTTTTTTAAAAACATGTGTTTTCTTTATTTACTCTTAATGATCATGAAGAGTTTACAGATTTTATAGAAGGGATTTTTAATATTTGCAATGACCTTTATCTTAATGGGAAGCAAAATGTAAACAATTAAAAATTCTGGATAAATGTTAAGGTGATCAAGGCTCATTAAGTTCCTTAATCTGAAATTATTAGCAGATAGCTGCTCCAAAATCCCACTTCACACACACACACACACACACACACACACACACACACACACACACACACAGCAATACAATTATTCAAACCTGAGTTCAGCCTTAGAAAAACAAAAGTTAAACTGAATTAACTTGAAACAATTATAAGACAAATAAATCCAGTATTTAGGGATGAAGCACCCGGAAAGAGGGGGCCCTGAAACATTTCTTCATCACACAGTGTGTTTGAGGCAATAACGTGCTGTATGGCAAGAATTTATACAGGGCTTTAAAACTTACAAAGCACTGCATATACATTGAGTCCACAGTAGGACTACAGTTTGGGAAAGTGAAGTATTGTTACTAACTTCAGGTTATTGATGAGAAAGCAGGCTGAAAGAAATTAAGTGAAGGTCACCAAGCCAGAAGTGGCAAAGCTGGGACTTGAACTTCATATCATCTGACCCTACATCAGGAACTCTTTTCTCTATGCCATGCCATTTTCATATCTGTAATATTGGACATGGGGACATTATGGGCAAATATGACATATTAACTAAATTAATAGACTGTGATATAGAAGAATGATATAACCAAAACAGATTTTTCAATACGTGTATCCTATCAAATATGATAGACCACATGAAATGTTTTTATAAATGAAATTAAAATGCTCCAAGAGAATTGCAAATCAAAGAAACCCGAGGTATAAATTCTTTATTAAAAAAAAAAAAAACCTCTTGGAAATTTTTTTGTTTTCTTTTTTCAATATTAAGCATTCTTATAGAAGGCATGCCTAGAGTCATTTCATCAAATAAATATTGTACTTTTATTTTCCCAAAGGATAAACTATATGGCCTTTGGCATAGGTTATTTCAATAGGAAATAAAGATTAAAGCAGACAAGCCCCAGGAGATGTTTTAAGTTGTTTTTGTTTTAATGAAAACATGATTTTGTTTTCTTCCTGTTATATCTATGAGGGCAGTTAAAGGTTTAAATTAACCTAGGTTCTTAGGCACTTGTCTCTGAAGATGAAGTTAGCAGTACATAGTTGTGGAAATGAGAGATTAATAACTTTTGTTGACCAGAATCAAAGCGAATACCAGGTGATCATTATAAGGACCATTCCACTTCTAGGTTCAGAAATCAAACCAGCAGAAGAGATGGCTAATCCTGTTTTCTTGCGGAAATGAAGAGCAATCAAGGCTTAGAAGGGAACATTTAATAATATGGAAGAGTAAAGAAGACAGGATTTATTCTTCAACTAGGTAGATAAGAAATGAAGACTGTTTTGTACTAGGGCAAAGATGTTTCCTTAGACGACCTTACCATGTGGATCTAATTAGCAGAATCTTTGATATGTAGTAGTGATGCAGTTTGTCTGAACTCTTGTTGCTTTGATTCTCTGTAAAGGAATATAACACTTAAGGAATGAAGGGCACTAATTCAGAGCCCTTCCATGTGCATTTCTTTCTTTTTTTACAACTTGTAGAAAAACAGAATTACTTGTGACAAAGAACACAAATGGTTAGTTGTAGAATTATAGAGCTGACAGAAACTCTACAAATCATTCAGTATAACTTATTCCATGTATTGTTTGATTTGCCCACTTCCAGGATTTGAAACCAACACAGAACATTAATATTTCAAATAGGGCAGAAGGATGAGAATTACACTTACGAAAATGAAAAGAATGTTTATGGAAAATTTACAGAATAGGTTGGTCTATTTCTGTCAACTACAAAGATTGTTTACAAAAGGAAACTGAAAATAAAATGGCTTATCCTTGCCAGCTTTTCTTGGGAAGTATAGTAATATAGTGACTATTGCCCTAAAAGGAAAGTAACGACTTAGTTTCCATTCTTGGTTCTTCATTACTTAATTAGATACTTATAGGGTAACTCATCAATTTCTGTTATTGTTTCTCAACAAGATAAAAGATTATATTTATTATCATGACTTCACAGAAACATTGGGAGGATTAATAAGGTATTATTTTTCAAGAGCTTGGAACACATTGTGGTTCTGCTAGTTTGGCAAATAAAGTAGGTAAATGAGTAAGTTAAGCCTCAGCACTACACTTTTTTCTTCTTTTTTAAATCACTAGCAGTTGCCAGGAGTTACCAGATCTTTTTTTTTCATTTTACTTTATTATTTTCTCAAAAGTCAAATCAGTAGAAGAAATGGCTAATCTTGTTTTCACATGAAAATGAAGAATGTCAGGGTTCACTTTCCATTCCACCTTATTTTTTTAGATCTTAATATAGTAAACTGAAAATTATTGTAAGACTTTCTCATGGATATTTACATTGTTTTTCCTTTTTGGGAAAATTTCATACTCTAGCTATCCATTTCTAGCCAAGGTACACTGTAATTAAACTTTCTAAATAAAGAACAATGTCTATTTTAAGCTAAAATTTTAGAATTTCTACCAAGTCTTAGAGTTGTAGGCAATCAGAAGAAGGGGCAGGTTTTACTAAATGTCTTCTAGATCCAGGGCGGCAAGGCTATACCTATATTTATTTGTAATGTACTATTTAGAGAAAAACATTGATGCATTTTAGTGCTAGATGATGTAAAGGGTCACTGGTCAACTTCGTGCAGCATACTGTTTGATTTCTAAGTAGAACATAACCCATGATGATGGTGTTATAGATAAAACTTCATGGATTTTATTATTGTAATTTAAAAATACTTAATCTCACACAAATTGTAGTTTAATAATGCACCTGTGGTTGAAATAGTTTGAAGTTTATTTGCAATAGAAATCTTTCAAATATATTGTTGTAGGACTTATGGAAGTAAAATGTTCAGTGTTCCCTCTCCTGGTTTTATCATATTGGTGAACTGACCTCTGGTCCTCAAATTGTGGTGATAGCGGAGAAGACAATTTTGAAGACCCACGTAAGATACTCTGATGGAATGTTCTATTTCTGAGTTGACTATTTCACACCCATTCAAATTGGGCAAGAAACTTATCCGCTAGTTCAAGTTCATTACATCCCCAAATATAATGAGATATATGAAAAAACAGAAAATATGTACAATAATGTTGATTTTGTCATTTGAAACAGACTGTTTTATTACAATTTATATTGACTGAATAGGTAGCTTCTTGCTTTAATTCTTGTTCTATGTTATTTTCTAGTGATGCTTTCTTCTTCTTGCTGATGGTCTTAGCAGTGCCCTAGGGTCCTGAGAGGTCATTCCAAATACAACTTTAATTTTTTAAAGTGCTCAAACATTTGAAAGTCTAGAATAGAAAAAAACAGTTTCAAAAGAATCACTTGCTATTAAAGAAGGAGATTAAAAAATTACTTTGAACCAAAAATGTCCGTACTCAAATTTATATATGATTTTTTTTTTCCTGGAGTTTTGCTTTGTTTGCTTTATTTTGTCAAAGACTTTAAGCTACTTCCGATATGTAGTACCTGGAGAAAAGATTTCCTTTCCACTTACTATATGTTTTTGGGTTTTAGGTATCTTTTAAAAGTCTCTGTGGAAACTCAAATTTCACATATAGTTACCCTCACTGCAGCATGAAGTACACGATTTTGATAATGTCTAAAATCCAATAGTTTGTAAGGAAACAAAAAGCAAGTTTCCTACTGATTGAAATGCTTTTTTTTTTTTCAGTGACACATCATTTATGCTTAAGAATTATACAACTTCTTGGGAAATTATTTCTATTTTAATCGATTGCCATTTAGCTGATTTTCAAAACTAATTTTTTTTCAAAATTATAAATATATTACAAAATTGAAGGAGTTTGGGATTTTTAAAATTTGATTTTGGGGAAGTTATATCACAAATCAAGATAGAGCAATTATTATAAAATCTACAGCAGGAGATTACGGCTTAATGACATATTGTTACATACATTTGCAGTAAGGAGTGCCACCTTTTGAACTTTGAGGTTCCACACGTTCTGAACTTTGCTTTAAATAGGAACTAATGTTATATTATCATCTTTTTTCTATCAATATACATTCTCTCACTAACTGATCAGAAGTGATGGCTTGATATACAACTTTTTAATCTTCTTTTATTCTTCAAAATTGTTTTCTAATTCAACTTTAAGGATAGAGTCCACCAATCCTTTTACTGAGATTGATGACTAAAGACTGCTGACTAGATTTAAAGGTATTCTTTCATGACAAACAGCATTGCAGGATTTTTAGAGGCAATCCACATTTTTAGAGGACGTTTTTCACAGGAGGGTACAGGGCAACATTTCCACGCGAGAACTCATGAACGAAAGAGGAAACGACTGTTGGGGAAATCCTGCTCCAGGTTTTCAGGCAGCCCGTATGATTGACATATGATATCACTGGAGGCGTGTCCTGGAGTGGAGGTGGAGGTGCCCGCGACGAGCTGAAATTCTGCGGAGCCGGAGTGGGACTGCTCTGTAAGGCACTCAGTGGTTTGCAGAGTGGTAGCTGCAGACAGAACTCCCTGCCCTGGATAAGGAGCAGCTACAGTCGCTGTTAATGTGCCTGAAAAGCAATTTCCAATCTTTGCGTTAGGTAAGAACTGTTTCCTTCCTTTCTTTCCGCAGACATTTTAGGAAAGGTCAGGTGAGAAATGTTGGCTTTTGTAAGGAACTGGTTATTTCTTTGAACTCGCTTTAGATATAAGATTACTGGTTGCATTTCAAATTACCAGTAGCATTCCCACTACTAAAACTAATGCTCTTAAAGTAAATGCTACCACCAAAAGAAAAAGCAGGGCCCCTTTCCCTCCCCCCCTCCCCGCGTAAGCGAACTACTTAACAAGGTTAAAGTCTGAAACGGTCGGATGTGTGAAAAACTGGGTGGTTTATGCCGAAGAGGGGCTGGCACTCGGGTGTGTGGACCAAATGCGTGTTTGTTTAGGCATTGTTGGCGACCGAATCCCGAGAAGCAGTTGTCTAAAACCTGAATTTCCCGTCTCTGTGTATTGATTTCCAATGCGCAGAGGCGTCGCTTGAACGTTGTTTGAACTCCTAGGCATTCCAAGGGGCAAAAGCACTTCGGCAAAAACGTGCAAGACTGCATGTTACTGTGGTTCGCTGCTGACACGCCGACTGTGCGCCCGCCTGTCAATCACTGGGAGAGCAACAGCCAGCACATGGCAGCGGGTGCGGGCGGCTGGCGAGCTGGCGAGCGGCCCGCTCCGCTCCACTCTCCTCCCGGGCGGCGGAGCGCGCTGCGCGGCCAAGTGCCTGGAAAGAAAGGGAAATTGACGTGTTTTTCTCTCCAATCGTCTGTAGCAGGCATTTCGGCCGTGGAAGAGGAGGGTCGGAGGGCTGGGAGTGAGCGCTGCCCGGGAGACGCTGACTGCCAGCACCGGAGTTCCCGGGGACGCCGTGCCCCCACTTGCCCGGCGTGCGGGATCGGGAAAGTGCCTGGACCTGCGCGGGGGGACCTGCGCCCCGCCTCCTCCCCGGAGGAAAACCCCCAAACCTCGGCTGCCTTCACCACCACCCCTCCAAAAGCCGGTAAAAAATAAAATAAAAAATCCCCCCCCCCC